GGAACCTCTTCCTTTCCTAGGCACTGGTTTTCACAGAGAGTGTCCTTGATTTATTTTCCAGGCCTGGGTTGATTGCCCAGAATAGTAGGACAAAACTACTTTTATGTGGACTTCTGCAGATTGTGAGCCTCTGAGCTCCTTCTTCCCCTACACACTGGGTATAAAGTTCTAAGCATTTGAACAAACTGGTTTAGGCAAAAGCCACCTCTGGACTGGCTACAGCCAATAAACCTGCTTCCTGCTAATTCCTAGGTGTCCAGCTTTGTCTGTCCTATAATAGCACATGCTAGGCAAGTGCTCTATAATTGAGCTACATCCTCAGCCTACATCCTTGAAAACGCTGATGATGATCTTTTTTATTTTGGTGAATCTCAGTGAGGCATTAATTGTATTTCTGTGATTTCTACTGAAGTCAAGCACTTTTTTTTTTTTTAAATCAGTGTCAATTGGTTATCTTGTGTTGTATGTCATGTTATCTTCTGTGAGAAACAGAAATTCTGGTGGTCCATTTTCAGAATATAGTATTTAGCCTTAACTGGGATGTAACATCCAATTGAAACTGGTCTTGAAATCAGGATAAGGTCCTTAACCCCCCTCCCACCCCTCCCACAACACACACACACACACACACACACACACACACACACACACACACACACTGATGATTAAACACCTGAGAAATACTAAGGCAAGAGCAAAAAGTTTTGTGTAAAGGATAGAACAGAGAGAGAGAGAGAGAGAAAGAGAGAGAGAGATTCCTCCAGAGAGGAGAGGGTCCGGAGCTGGTGCCCAAGGGAGTAGGGGTGTCTTGCCCCTTTTATAGATTTCAGGTTTCCTTTCTCCTCATGCTTCCTCCTCACATCCTGCCTATGTAACCAAAAGGGCAGGAAGAGAGTTATCTGGGGAGTGATTGCTTGTGTTGGAAAACGTGATCCTTCACCTTCCCCAAAGGTTGTTAGCAACCAGATGATGGGGAGTGCTATCTACTCATTAACTTTTTCTTGGTACCTGTCCTTTGCAGCTATCTGTTCATTGCCCTGCTCTCACAATCATAGTCATGTTAACTATACCCCTTTGCCCTCCCCAATTTAAAAATTAGCCTATTGCATAGATTGTTACCCCAAGCTCTTCCTATCAGAGCATGGGACAGTGCTGCCTTAGGGATAAAAATAGGTGGACTGTCCACCAAAGTGTACTTCCTTTCAGACTTTGTTCAGTAGCACACCTTCTGCAGAAGGTGTTTGCCTTGCCAAGGTTGTTGTTGTTGTTGTTCTTCTTCTTCCTTTTTAATTAGGTATATATGACAGCAGAATGCATTTTGATTTCATTGTATACAATTGCAGCACAACTGTACATTTCTATGGTTGTATACTATGTAGCTGGTCATACCATATGTGCAGTCATACATTGTACCTAGGGTAATAATGTCCATCTCATTCCACCATCTTTCCTACCTTCATGTCCCCCCACCCTTACCTCCCCTTTGCTCCATCAAAGTTTCTCCATTTTTCCCATTCCTCCCCCCCCATTATGGATCAGCATCCACTTATCAGAGAGAACATTTTGCCAAGGTACTTCTGAGCATGTGTTTGATTTCTTGCAGTACCCAGTATTTCTAATAATTTTGGCGTCCAACATGGGGCTCCATACATTGCCTAGGGGATTGTGAGTACTACCTCCTTAGAGGACAAACCTATTAGCTTGTTGTGGTGGCCTTGGAGTGGGGGAGGAAACCTGCAATCCCTGAGGCTGACAACAGATCCCAAATTGAAAGTGCATCAGCAACCCAGGGAAAGAGCCTAAGGAAGCACCACGGTGACTAGGTAACCCCGTGCACAGACCAAGGTAGAAAAATCTATTCTTGAGAAAGACGTGGTGGTCAGGACATCTTGGAGGT